ATTATCCAGTAGCACAATATAAATGTAATCCCAATGTTTTACTCGATGTGTCTGAATATAATTTGTGGTCTACAGAATTTAGAACATTAAGTGACACATCATGGATTGATGGTGATGTTATTGATAGCTATTTAATAGCTCAATCTTCACCAGAACATTGAAAAAATGTGCAATTTATAACCACTCGGCATACTGCATTCATATAAGAAGACAACGTCTTTAATTGCATTGATATTAGATATACAGTGGAAAGTTTTTACTGAGACCGATTTGACTATCAATCGGTCAGTACAGTCTGATGAGTATACTTTTAGGATATTTATTATATATTATATGACGGATTTTTGGTTTCAAACTATTCTCGAAAACCGTTTCTATGATCCAAATAAACGCAGATTCGATATTGCATCATATTTGTTAAAAGCATCAGAATCAATGGAGAATATTTGTATATTATACACAAAGGACGATGGAAAGAACATGACATTCCAATGTACATCATACCAACGTAAAATACATGATAGATGTCCAATGAGATATGAAAACCAATAGATACCGATGATTGGACTTGTCTCAAAAACAAAGAGAAATTTTGAAACATAAAGTAAAGTTTTTTTTCTTGTTTAGATTCTGCATTCAATTGATAGCCAATTATTCTATCATTGGTAAGTTAATTTAAAATATATTGAATATTTATCATTCTTTGGCTAGTTTTAATATCATCTTTCCAGGGATAATTTATAATTTACCGTTTTAATTTAGAAAAAGGTCCATAATAGTACATTATCATTTTTATTGCTGTGCTCTGTAAAATTGGAATGAAGTATTTTGTAAAAATCTTGGATCTTTTCGGTTTTTCGAATGAAAAAATCATCTCAAACTTTGAGGTATAGTGGTTTAATTTTTTTCAAGTAATTAATTAATTTTTATTGAATCATTAATTTTATATGCTTCTTTCGATTTAATCGCCTATAATATTTGGTTCGACTATTAAAAAAAAATGATTAGATAAATTTTGAAAGATATGGGGAGCAGGAAAATATTTCAATTCATTTGTTAAACAGCCTATAGATTTGTTATTAGCCACACTAAAATTTTTTTTTTCAATTAATATTCGAGATTAGAACTTACTGGACGTTAATTTGAGTTACCATTTTAGTGTCCAATTTTAAAAACAAATATATAAAAAATGTTTAGTCATTGTAATGCACAGTGTCAGAATAACTTATACAAAATATATGTTCATATGACAATTAATCTCAAGACCATAAAATAAAATAAATGGAATAGAGAAAGTAATAGCTAGAGCTACAGAAAATCCAAACACTGAAAGGTTTGAATAAGAATCCGTGATCTGAAAATATTCATCCATATTTTATAATTCATACATTAGATTAAATTTGTACCTCGCTTCAAACCGATTACAGTAAACTTTAATTTTCAAAAATATTACTATTCACAGAAGAATGGTACGCATGTATTTTGTAACACAAATGACGGTGTTTAAATTCATAAGAATAGGTTTGAGCACACTTTGTCTGTGCTAACACGACGAACTTCCCATTAGTGATTGCTTATAACAAATTAAAATAGTTATTATTAATGTTTGTTGGAAACATCCAAATCCCTGTGATATACACATTACTTAGTCAATAAATAGATTTTTTAATTGTTTATAACAAATTCGTATTGTTATAAACAATATCTAATTTTAATGAGTCATATTTCATCATTAATAAGATTATTTTGTTAGAAACATCTAAATCAGTGTGATATATGCATTAGTTAATCGAAAAATACAATTTTCAATTGTTTATAAGAAATTCATATTGTTATAAACAATGCATGTTTTATAAAAGCTGTATTAAGTTGTGAACAATAATGTCTAGTGAGTATCGACTCAATTTTCAAATGAAAATGTTATTGTTTGACTTAAGAGTATTGTAAATAGCTAATCTTTACATTTTTTATGAGTTATTTTGTTATAAAAAAAACGGCTCGACCGATTTTTTCCAAATTGTACTCAGATCTTCTTTTTGATAATAACTCTCAAATTAATTTTGGTTGAAGTCGATATCTCAATCAGTTTTTGAGATATCGAAAACGAAAAAAATGCTGACGTCCATACATACGTACGCACACACACATTGTGGGTTAGCATGCTGAACGATGATGATTGAATTCAAAGATCTCAAGAACTATGTCAAAATTTAAGGAAGTACAATAAACAAAAAATTTTATCATACTTTTTCATACTATAAAAAACATGTAAATTTTGGGTTTCTGCGGAAATATAAAATTAGATGTAAGGTTTCAGACCGGGAAAAGTATTTTTTTTCTTCTTAGAAAAAAATTCACACACTTGTTGTCTACATAGAATTTTTTCAGAATCATTTTATTTTTTATGTGAAAAATTCCTGATTTGAATAGTATTCTGAATTTTACAATTAAAATCACACCACGACTAGACTATAAATAACAATAAATTTCACATCCAGGGAGGAAAAGTCGACTAGCTCCCCGAGTCGAAATATTTGTTCTACTTCGATTCTTACAGTTCTCTTCATCCTACATTTACTCTCTAAATTCTCTTTTTATTCTCTTTTAATTCATAATTTTTTAAAAAGAAATTCAAAAATTTCGCTTTATTGAATATATCTTGCTTTTGACCTCAATCTTCTCTTTAACTTCTATTTTACGATTTCCAAAACTTTTACATTTTCTATTTTCAAATACCTACAAAGTATGTACTGCATGCACATCTTGTTTGAAACCTTAAAGAACTATTATACTTCTCTTCAAGTTCCAACACTATAACAATTATCAGTCACTTTTTCAATAATTTTCACTTGATATCTAGTTTTTTTACAAAACTCTAAAACTTCTCCCTCTTGTAAATAATCTAACAATCGTGTTCTCTTAATTAGTTGATAATGTGAGTTCGCTACTTGAGAGCCTATGTGTCCTGTTCCATGTATAGATTTTAATATTTGGTCATTAATATTTTCGTAACACGTATTAGTCCAAAGAGAACCTTGAGTTCTTACCCTGTCAGACAGATGTAGAAGCTGGTGTATATTTATAGAGCAGAACTGAAGACCGTACATGGCTTGAAATTGTTGTACGAACTTATGAAGTAAGTCATTTGCAATATCAACAGCATTTTCAGTTATAGTGTCAGAATTGAGAATAGCGAGTCCCATAACTAAACACAAGTAGTGCTGAAAATAATCTATTCGCATGATACCTTCTAACACAGGAATAGAATAGCAAGAGAACCATATTTTTAGTTCGGAACATTTCCAATGCAGCAAATCTTTGATAGTTCGTGGCATCCGATGTATACATTTAGGAGGTTTTATACTTTTTAGTCTGTCATCAATGATGTTTATAACGGCATGAAGAGAAAAAACATAATTGCTACAATTTTGATCAAAAAGCAACGTTAATAATTTTTTTACCACGCCACCATCAACGCCATGCATCCTGTCAACTGCCATGCCCTCAATAAAATCAGGCATTAGTCTTGATAATGCCGTTTGACCTCTGACCCCAAAAAATGGATTATCGAATGTTGCTATTGAAGCAAATTGTTGTCATAATGTTGATAATGATGATCTTAATATCATTATATCTTCATACGGGTAAAAATGGACGTAGCTTCTTGGACCAATTTGTAGATAATTACCTCTTGTAAAACAAGCTGGACAGCCAAAATATCCATTATATTAAGTAAAATTTAAACAGTCATTTTTAGCAAGAAGATCACATGTACCCATCAACAATATTCCTTTAACAGTAAGAGGATTACAATGCCTTGGTCGAAATATTTCAATACCATTGGCGATTTCTTAAAGCGTAAAAAAATTTATTCATATCAGGCTGTTATTTCCATATCACAATCCCAAGAGTAGAGTATTTTCTTTTTTCTTGCGTACTTCAAAAGAGAGCTCACTTATTGTAAAATACAGAGGCCATACATTGACTTGAGATGAATTAAACACTGGAACTCCATCTGTGTACCAGCTGAAAGATATGTTATTCGGATTGGAAAGAAATCCGTTATTATACCATGATTGATAAATTTCTCCGTCATAAATTTCAGTCATCAGACCAAACTCATTTGGTGTTTCAAATCGAAAACATTTGCAAACATTTCTTTTAATTGTTCAAGAAAAGGGAGCTAAATGAAATATGGATTTTTATCTCGCCTCGGACAAGAAGGACAAACATCCATTTCAGACAATAAAGATCGCATACACGTTGTGCAGTAATAATGTTTGATCATTTCAGACTCTTCGAACGAAAAATATTTTTTTAATTTAAACAGGCTATTCTTCTTTAGGCCTTGCCGTATGCAGTGTAAATTTATTACAGTAATGATATCTCCGATACATGATGCTGTTAGATTATGATGCATGAAAAGAGCTAATATTAATAGCATGCTTTCAGCGATTGTTAAAGGAGCATTATGATACAATGGTTCAGAATCATTTTGCTGTTGTACGAAATCTTTATCTCTATCTTCATCATCTTCTGTATTATCAGTATGTAGATTTTCTTCCATATACACCTCATCGGTAATCGGCGTTATTATCCGGGGACAAAAAATCCCCGACAAAATATCCCTGACAAAATAGCCTGGGACAAAATATCTTTGAGACAGAAAATTCTTAAGACAAATTATCCTTGGATGAAATATCTTCATACAAAATATACTTATAATATAATATCTACACCATGAAGTAATTAAATGCTGTACATATTTTTATCATTGCATTGAATAATATTAAAATATTTAAATTCAACGCGTGACATTTTTGCTATATTACAGTGTTGTCATGTGATATTTTGTTAATATACATGAAGTTGATCTGATAATTACGCCATCAATCGGATTTTTTTTATACTACTACTAGTTTGTACTATTGGTAAAGTGCATTGGAAGGGACGACACCAAGTCGTCAAAAAAGTAATTAGAGCAAGTAGGTCAAAACCTAATGTGGCAAATAGGGACGACACCAAGTGGTCAAAAAAGTAATTAGAGCAAGTAGGTCTAACCGTAACCTTAGTGCCACATACCATAGTAGTAGCTTGTGTAGTGTATATTATATTATTTACTCTAAAACGTTCAATTACATTGATTATTGTTTGATCCTTCGTTGTTTGATCTTTTCAGTGTTATTTATGTATTATATTTTCTATCTGAATTATTAATTTATGTATTTACTGACACGATGCCATTGAAATTTATATTATCACAAAAACAAAAGAAATTGTTACTTTACGACGGTTTTTTATACTCCAAAAAATCAGTTAACAAAACAAATATATCATGGCGTTGTGCATCAAGATTTAATTGTAACGTATTAATTCATACAGATTCTGAACTAAAAACTGGTAATTATTTGGTGATTTATCATTAGTTTTATTATTTTTATATTAGTTATTCATATTTTATTGATGTTTAGGAAACATTGTCGGTGTTACACCAAAGCACGAGCATGCCAGTGATATTGCTGCAGTTGAAATGAAGATGATAAAAGCTAAAATTGCTAAAAAAGCACGAACAAATGATTCGAAACCAGCTACTGTAATTACTCAAGCATTACGTGGTGTGCTATCACCTGTTTCGGCTTTGTTGCCTAAGCTTTCATCCATGAGTCGAACAGTAAATCGTATTAGAGCTAAAGAAAACCCTCAACTCCCGGATGTATCATCACGTTGTGAATTGGTATTAACAGAAGAATTCAAATATACTCACACTGGAGAACTATTTTTATTATATGATAATGGTGGTTCGAAGAGGCGATTTTTGATGTTTACAACGCATAAAAATTTGAATGTTTTAAGTAGATGTCAACAGTGGTTAGGTGATGGAACTTTTCGTGTTGCACCAAACAATTTTTCGCAACTATACACTATAATACATGGCTTCATGGAAGGTAGATCTGTCCCACTTGTGTATGTACTATTACCGAATAAATTGAAAAATACTTATATTCAAGTGTTGAAAGTTTTGCGCCGATCTTTGCCTAATTTTTCGCCAAGTGTTATTATGGTAGATTTTGAAACTGCATTTATTGAAGCTTTGAAAGAAGTATACGCAGGAGTTAAAGTCGCCGGCTGCAATTTCCACTTCAACCAATGTTATTGGCGTCGGATTCAGGCTTGCGGGTTACAAGCTCGTTATAACACAGATGTTCTTTTCGCCTATAATTTACGTTTGCTATCAGCGTTAGCCTTCATTCCACCAGATCATGTGACAGCTGGATACGAAGCAATTGTGGAGTGTGATTTTTATGATAATAACAGTGAGTTATTGGAGCCTTTATTATCTTATTTTGAAGCAACTTGGGTTGGCGAATTACGGCACAATAAAAAAAAAAAGAACCAAGCCCTTATTTGCCATCAAAATCTGGAATTGTTATCAGTAGATAAGCAGGGCCGGTTCTGGATCACTCTGCAATACCGGCCAAGTCAAAAAAAGTGGGTTCTGATCCGCACTAATTACCGACCGCGATAACTTTGACGATAAGTTACCAACCGCGATAAGTTATCGACACTGATAAATTATCGGCAGCGATTTTTTTTTTTACCGATCCTGATTGGTGATAAATTATCTTCAGCGATAATATTATAATTATCAGCAAAAAAAAATAACCGTAGAAAAAAAAATGGCGATGATGTGTCTCAAGGATGTTAGATGATTGGGAAAACGTTTTAGAGTAAAAACAATTTCTCTTTCAAGTCAATTTTTTTTTTTTTTTATTAAAAAAAATTATAATATATTTTTTCTTTTTTATAAAAAAATAATGATCCCTTGAATGATGGTTCCCAAGTAGCATTAATCTACCTGTAAGAATCAAAATTATTTGCTTTAATAACTTTTTTCATATAAGTAAAACTAGAAAAACTAATCATAAAACAAGACTTACAGTATCATAACCATCATCATAGTCAGTGGAATCATCATCATAATTATCATCGTCATCAATTGTTGGAGGTGAAGGAGGTAGAAATTCTACCTCACTATCCTCCGATGACACAGTCGCTGGAGAAGGAGGTAGAACTTCTACCTCACTATCACTGTCTTCGACAGTGATGATTTCTTGGCTTAGAGGTGGTGGCACGACGGAGATGTCTCCTTCTATCCGGAACCATATGACGTTACCGGAGAACGTTAGGCAGGTAGCCGTTACGCCACAAAGTGTAAGGGTAGCGCCTTCTATCCCTCCCGTCTCTTCCCAATGATCTTCAAGTGTCATTAGAATAATAATTTCTAGGAGGGTGATCGGTAGGTCGAACCAGGCCTCCGGAAAAATAAAAGTGCACATCTTTTTCTAAAAAGTAATAACGATTATGATAGATTGTTTTCAAACTTAAAAAAAGAAAAATTCTCCCACTTGATAAATTATCATTTAACAATTTATAAAATTCACAATTACACTCAATAAATAATTATATTAATGCATAAAAATTAAAAAAAAAACACACTTTTTATACTTGAATGAAGCAAAAGTCACTACTTACTTGGTATGGTTTGATCAGTTTGACTGTCGAAAATGAACTAAATATTTTGTCCTATGCATCATACACCATGGCTAAATGTTTATATTTTTCAAAGAGGCCAATGGTGAAAAAATCATTGAACGATATTGATTTAAATCTATATAGAGAGGCCTTGATCACATCACTCAGCATCAAATTACAGATGAAGAAAAGAATTTGACAACAAGAAAAAATTCTCACTAAAAAAAAATTTATAAATGACATTTTTTCTTTTTAATTATTAAAATAGTTTGTAAACGATCTCTACTATGGATAAATAATTTTAGACACATATTTTTTCGATTGGGATTTTAATTAAACGCGTTTTCTTTGTCGCTCATGCCTCTGCTATCTTCTTTTCCTCGCTCCGCCACCGCTTCCTCACTTTGTCTATACTTTTATTCTCCGCTAAGAAGCTGTGATTCATGCAAGAGTTGAAAGGGCCATGTGTCGAAAAATAATCGACTTATTTCATTTCATTTAGAAACGTTAACGTTTGACTCAGTCGGTCGACTGCATCATATTTTCCTCACCCTTATCTCTTTTTCACTTTGTTTATGCTCTCATTCTCTGTTACTTATTGAAGTAAGACAGAATACATATTATGAATAATCAATTGAAATATTTTATTTACTGTATGAGTAATCATAACTAAACGTATTTTAAATGTAAAAAAATTATTGAAACGAAAAATTATTATCTTTTTCATTTTATATTTTCTGAACTATGATTTATAATTATTTACGTTAAATGACTTCTTTAACAATAATAATAAGATTTTTATCTTGAGAAAGAATTTTTATTTAAGAAATAAAAATTATACATTTTTATTTTATGTATTTGAATGAATGAATTTTTCTTTTTTACAATCAATACAATTAATTCTCAATGTTCTTGTATGATCTAATGACATGTAATGTTTGTAACATTTACGATGCAATAAGATATCTCTATCGAGTTGTAAATGTTCCGGTAATTTATCCCAAATATCGTCGATGTATTCTGGAACAATCTTCAAGAAAAAATACTTTGGAAGACAAGCAATATCTTCACTTGACATTTTTGTTATATTTTTTAATAAACAATACAATTTGAATGACTTCTCAAATGGGGTTTTTTCATGAAAATTCACCATATACCATGCTTTTAGAATTTTTACATTCTTTTCTGCACATTTTTTATTTTCTCCATTATGCACCCCACAATCTCTTAGATGATTCATATCCAGAACATGTAGCGAAGGACATCCAAGCTCATCCAAATTAATTACAACTTTTGAGTTGTCAATTAAACTTTCTAACCATTTTTTCTTTTCATCTCCTTTCACGTAAATACGGTCTCGATCTTTAACAAGTACACGAAGAATGTATGGAAGTTTATCATATGGTATTGTTCCAGATTTCCATGGAATGCCATGATAATTACGTATCAACCACGAATTTATGCATTTATATTTTTCAGGTAAATATTCCCACTGATATGGCGGTTTAAAAATTATCACTGAAATGTCTTCCATACCATCACTATTATCTTGGATTGTAATAGTCGCCAATTCTTTCACTAAAAACTGATTATTTGGCTGCTTGAAACCTTGAACATCCAATATCATTTCCATGATGTGCTCAAAAATTTGTATACATGCCAAAATGTAAAACCCAACTGAAAAGTTTTTTTGGTAAATCATCTATTTATATGTTTATCCCCACTTTAAAATTATAATATCTAATTTTATTGTTTGATCACTACAACGATTGTCTATAAAATTATATTTTTTTTCATTATATGTAATTTTCGATAGTCTGAAATTTTCAGCAAGAACGATGATGAAACATCATGCCAACCCCTCAAGATTTTTTCTTGAAAAATCAAGCAAAAATTTAAATGATCTCAGGGATGATTCACAGCCTTGACATATTCTAGAAATTTTCAGCGAGAATGATGATGCAACATTATGCATTCGATTTTTTCTTGGAAAATCAAGCAAGAATTCAAATGATCTCAGGGCTGATTCACAGCCTTGACATGTTCTGGAAGTTTTCAGCGGGGGATGATGATGAAACATTATGCAAACGTTTTTTTATGCATGTTTTAATTTATGATTGCATCAAAAATTGAAACATTTTGGAATCTTTGTTTTGGAGGGGATGAATTGTATTTATACCCATGCGACTCATGTTTAAAATCACTGATCTACTACTACATAATTCAAAACAGTAAAAATGGATCTATCAAGAGTAAATAAAATTGCCAAGTGTAAGACGTACTTACCAACCAAAAAGATGGATACATTAAAACCGTCTAAAACGTATAAAATTACTGGTTTAAAAGAACTTGAAACTGTGTATGGAACAAAAGTTGTGGCAACAGTTAAAAATAGCTACATGATATTTTTACCTCCAAGAACGGTGAAAATTTTGGAAAATCATAAAGAATTTGAAAAATTGGTTGAGTTGGCCGTTGACAACAGATTATCATTGTTGTACCATGGTGGAGCTAACAATTCTTTTGAATTCATAGTTGATGATGAAATGTAATCTAAAATTTTACATGTCAAACAAAAAAAATATAATGGATACAATTGATGAAAAGTAAATCTTACGATAATCAATGTAATCTAAAAAAAAATTTTCATGTTACAAAAATAATGAATACAATAAATATTTGAAATTATTGTTCTTTTGATTTAAATATTTCCCCTCTCTACATTTTAAGAAAATCGTTATTTAATGACGGTTAAATTTGGTAATTGATATTCTCGAACTTTCAAGAAATTTTTTCGGATTATGGCACCACATTACAAGGTCATCCAAAATCCTATATAAATCTTTTCAAACACGCTTTTTCATCATTGTAATTCTGAAGTTTGTCTAGTATAGTCGAAAGAAATGAGTGCATTAAACTATTATTCTGATTTAATTAAAATGATGGAGGAGGCTTATACTCTTCTACCATCTTTGAATCATGAATCTAGTGAAATCATTGATAAGTGGGTGCGAATGAGTAGTGACAATATGACTACATTAAACAGACATTTGCAATCGAGTGGTTTATCGGTTGGTGAAAAACAACGAATTCAATCGATAATTGCAGCACTCGCAACATTACATGAAAAGTTTATAAATCATTCAATCGTTGGAGGAAGCCTTCAATCAACAGAACAATTGATTCGATGGAAAGATTTAGAAAATATTTTCCAAAATCGAATTCGCACTGGTGTTGTCATTAACTTGCAACATCTAAATTTACGAGACTTCTTATTGGACGCTGAAAAGCTGATTACCGAAAAGTTGACAGATATAGTAACAAGTGAGGGAAATTTAAAAGTGAACTTTGTCCTTGCTTGTAAATTCAGTAATCAAACAAATGATGGAACAGTTGTAGAAATTAAGTACTTTAATGTTAAAAATGAAGCAATTTTGCCGTCAACAGACATAAAAAAACATTTTCTGGAAAATGTTGTTGACAAACTACTAACAAAAGTCGAGGATTTTCAAGAACGAGATTCTGGTTGGTCACTTGTAGAAATTGAATATCTGCAAGTCAATATTAATCGTTATCAACCTCTATTAGCTGGACAATCTACATTTATACCTCTACCAAAATTTATACAACAAAAAAAAGCAGTACTAAATATTAAAAACAACGATCAATGTTGTTTCTTTTGGGCTGTTACTGCAGCTCTTTATCCTGTTTTTGTAAATTCAACAAGAACAAGTTCATATCCTGATTACAAAAGTGTGTTAAAATGTGAGGGTATCAACTGTCCCACAACCTTACATGATGTTCCAAAATTTGAAAAACTCAACGATTTACCAATAAATGTGTATGGTTTAGATGACTGTACGTATGGTTTAGATAATAATTGTGAAATTATTCCGTTATATTTAAGTAAATATTATAAAGTAGATGAGCCATGTATTCACCTGTTAATGGTACAAAGTAGAGTAGAAGTAGGTGATGAAAATAATAATATTAATCCAGTTTTTCATTTTTGTCTGATAAAGGATCTTTCAAGATTAGTTGGAAATCAAATTTCTAAAAATGCACACAAACTATTCTTATGTGATAGATGTTTAAATCACTTTAAGATAGAAAAATCATATAAAAATCATCAAAAAGATTGTATCAATATGAATGATACGCGAATTTCACTTCCGGAAAAAGGTGTTAAAATAAAATTTAAAAATTTTCATTTTAAACAGCCTGTGCCATTTGCTATCTATGCCGATCTTGAGAGTATTCTTGAACCTGATAATGAAGGTAATCAAAAGCATATTCCATGTAGTGTAGCCTATTATATGCACTGTACATATGACAATTCAAAATGTCGATTTAATCTTAAACGTGACGTTAATTGTATAAACTGGTTCATGACTGAGTTGAAAAAAATAGCTGAAACTGTCAAAACTTACCTAGAAAACGCAGTACCAATGAAACCATTAACATCCCAACAGTTAAACGATTTTCATAATGCAAAAATCTGTCACATTTGTAATAAATCATTTTTACATGATGAAACGAAAGTACATGATCACTGTCACTTTACAGGCAATTATCGAGGCGCTGCTCATGTTAATTGTAATTTAAATTATCAAAATTCATGCATAATTCCAGTCATTTTTCATAACCTCTCAGGATATGACTCACATTTTTTTATTAAATCATTAGCTGCATCATTTAAAGGTTATATGGAATTATTACCTGTCAATAAAGAAAAATACATAGCATTTACAAAAACAGTTGATCAGAAAATTTCCCACGAAAAAAGAAAAAAAGAAATATTTGTTAAATTACGATTTATTGATTCTTTCCGATTCATGAGCAATAGTATTGAGAAACTTGCATCATTTTTGGATAATAACGCAAAATCAATTACCAAAAGTTTCTATCCCGAGCCAGATAAATTTCAGTTAGTAACTCGTAAAGGTGTTTTCCCATATGAATGTATTGACAGTTGGGAAAAACTTGACGAACGACAACTACCTGACAAAACAAAATTCTATTCGAAACTCAACGATTCGGCCATTTCCGATGACGATTACCAACATGCACGCCACGTTTGGGATCAATTTCAACTAAACACCCTCGGTGAATATTCAGATTTATATTTAAAAACAGACGTTCTTCTGTTAGCAGACATTTTTCAAAATTTTAGACAAAGTTGTATCTCTACTTATGAGCTTGATCCGTTACATTACTACACTGCACCTGGATTAGCTTTTGATGCTATGTTGAAATATACAGAAATTGAACTCGAACTCTTGGACAATGTGGAAATGCTTAATTTCATAGAAAAAGGTATTAGAGGAGGAGTGGCACAGTGTTCAAATAGATATGCAAAAGCAAATAACCCGTATATGTGTAATGATTATAACCCCAATGAAAATATATCATATCTCATGTATTTTGATGTAAATAATTTGTATGGAGCAGCAATGAGTGAGTACCTACCAACTGGATCATTTGAATGGGTGAAAGATGACATCAATATTTCTAATATCTGTGAAATAATTAAAAATATCTCCAATGATTCTCCAGTTGGTTACATTTTCGAGGTTGATTTAGAGTATCCAAAAATCTTACACGAGCATCATAAAGATTTGCCATTGTGTCCTGAACACCGTAAACCTCCAAACAGCAATAGCAGCAAACTTATGACGACATTATTACCTAAACTTGAATATGTGATTCACTACAGAAATTTAAAACAATGTCTCGATTTAGGAATGATTGTAACCAAAATCCATAGGATCCTTAAATTTAATCAATCACCATGGATGAAGAAGTATGTAGATCTGAATACAGATTTACGAAAAAAATCTAAAAATGATTTTGAAAAGAATTTCTATAAATTAATGAATAATGCAGTTTACGGAAAAACAATGGAAAACGTTCGGAAGTATAAAGATGTAAAGTTAGTTACACAGTGGGAAGGTCGGTATGGTGCAAAAAATCTCATTGCCTCTCCAAAATTCCACAATAGTATAATTTTTGACAATGACATGGTAATAATAGAAATGGAGCGAAAAAATATATATTTCAATAAGCCGATATACGTAGGATTTGTAGTTTTAGATCTTTCAAAAATGTTTATTTATGACTTCCATTACAATTTAATTAAAAGACAATTTACAGACAATCAGGTAAAATTATTATACACAGATACAGATAGTTTAATTTATCAATTTCTCAATGCTGATATTTATGATTGCATCAAAGATAATATACATAAATTTGACACCTCAGACTATCCACCAAATAACCGTTTTAATATCCCATTAGTTAATAGAAAAATTGTAGGCCTTATAAAAGATGAAAATAAAGGTGAAATAATGACGGAATTCATTGGTCTAAAAGCAAAAATGTACACATTTAAAGTTCAAAATAAAAAAGACAAATATAGTAAAGCAAAGGGTGTCAAAATTGCAACAATAAAATCTATAACATTTGATGATTACAAAAAATGCTTACTTAATCATGAACAATTATGTAAAACGGAATATCATATAGTCAGCAAGAAACATGAAGTACATACAATTAGTAGACAAAAATTAGCATTAAGTTGGGAAGACAATAAAAGAGTTCTTCTAGCACAAACAACTGATACACTTCCTTGGGGTTATAATTTATATTAAATAGTGTAAATAAATTATTTTAAATATGAGGTTTATGTTAAAAAAAAAATAATTTGTAAGAAAAAAAAAATTTATTCAATAAAAAAAAATATTATAAATTATTTACATTAGTTTGTATTGAACTCATCTTCTACAAATAATATGACAAAATCATCTTCATTCTTATTGGTCTTATTTTTTTAATTTCTTTTAACATTCGTTTATTAATTTTATCAAGACGTTTAATTATTTTTTTTTCTCTTTTAATTCGTTGTTGTTCTTTATGAGTTAAAGATATCCATTTAATATTAGCAGCTTTATCTTTTGTATAACGTGGTAATTTTTGAGCATCACTATACATTTTGTCAGCCATTGTTTCTAGCTCTTCAGCTAAAGACATTATAAATCTTTTATGTTAATCCAGCTATTGTGTGTTTTATCGAATCCTAACCACTTGACAAAAGCTTGATTACCACGTTTTTTCAGAACTTTTTCTACCAAATAAATATCAGGGTATTGAACCTTAGTCGATTCTTCTTGATAAAAACCTCCTTCAATCGGTTGATCTTGATAGTCGACAAGCTTGTAGGTTACTGGATCAGTATTCAATACTTGACTTACATTAAAGATTTCAGTTGTCCAATTAGGGGTGTATCCCTTCTCAAAGACATGCTTATATTTACTTATGCGTACTTTGTCCCCAACCTTAAATTTAGTCTTTTTTATTTTTTGTTGAACTTCAAGTTTATTATTGTAGATAGTATGACGTAATTGTTTCTCATTGGCTGAAGTAACATCAATCGGTTTTATTTTGATGGTTCTATGTTTGCTATTGTTATATGATGTCATCAATTTTGGTAAGATGTCTATCCACTGGTAATTACCTCGCAACGTAAATTGTTTCCACATTTGACTTTTTAACGTGCGATTAAATCGTTCACATATAGATGCCTTAAGATTACTAAATGTGGAATACATTTTGATATTATATTGTTTCATAAGTGCTTCAAATTCTTTATTGTAAAATTCTTTTCCTCTATCAACATGCAAAAATTTTGGCACTCTTTTTTGTGATAGAATCGATTTCATTGCATGGGCTACATCTTTACCATTTTTAGATTTTGTGGGCACAGCCCAAGCGTATTTTGAAAAAATATCAATAATAGTCAATAAATACTGATGACCTTTATTATAAGATTTATATGCTGTCATGTCAACTAGATCAGCTTGCCAAGTTTCATCAAGCCCACGTATATCAACATGTCGTCGTTGATAATTTCTTCTGACCGGTCTATGCAGCTCTTCAGTTATTATTTTTTTCTCCTTGTTCATGATGCTGCTGATCAAGATATTTCCGAATATTTTCTTCCAATTGTTTAATACTTTCAGCTTGTTTACGATTTGCTTTTTTCAGTAAACGTAATCGATCTGACTCATGCAGTTCAATTGTTTCATTCAATTCTTCTTTCAGACGTTTACGATGTTCTTGTGATGATTCAATATGTTGCTCTACTTGAACATTAATGATTTTGATTCTTTCTCTATTTTCTTCAACAATTCTTCTTAAATTTGCTACAGTTTCGCGTAACAGACGTAATTCTATTTCAATAAATTTTTTTAAAATTGTAATCTTTTTTTCAATTACTCCTAATGATGTTGCATCATTCAAATCTACTGGTTCAGCGAGATTACACAATCTCTTATTATCCATGTCAAACTGTTGATCCACAGTTAATTTGAATCCTTCACCAGGAGGCCCACGAACAGCACTTTTCACAATATCTTTCGCTAATTGTCGTCCAAAAACGTCAACACTCATTTTTAAACCTCTCACTTCAAAAGTTCTTCAAAGAATGAGTAGCTGTGTAGAATACATCAGATTAATAAATGATTTCAGCTTCACGCAATTCCTCTAAAATTGATAAAATTTCGTTAGTATGACTGAAATTTCCAGCAGTTTGAGATGCAATAAGTAAACGAAGTCGATCTACAAGTTCATTGGGATCATCCCAATAAATATAATCGGTAGGATGATTTTGTTTATGTTTAATCATATATTGTGGTAAACTTTCTCCACTTTTTGGTATATATTTACTGATTATGTCGGTGAATTTTTTTAAATTCTTATCTACTCTGATACTTCTGTCAGGAAGATAATGCTTTCGATAGGCGTTTGTCATACTGATAATTCTGCCATAAGTGTTTTCATCTTCTTTTGTTATTTTTGATTGATCAGGTGAATTCATAAATAATAATTCCAATAGACCAGAAGTAGTATTGTATTTTCTATCA